TTTGCAAAGGTCAGGGAGAGCCAAGGGGAGCTGCAGGATACAGTGCACTGTCCCAGGGCTGGGGACAGAATCAGCATGATGTCCTCTCCTTCAAGACCTGATGATGGGGAGCAGAAGTTACCATAGATGTGGAGAGAGCCAGAGCCCTTCAGTTAGGATCTTTGCGGTTCAATTCAGCCCCTTCAAGAACTCTGAGTGGGCCAGAGGAACACATACCAACATCATTATCCTTCCTTCTTTGACCTCCTCCCGGGGCTGCCTTTTGGACAAAGGGAACTGAGCACCAAAATTGAAGAAGCCTATTTATATAATTCTGAACCATCAGCTCCCGAACGGAGAAGAGCAGAGGATGCATATGACAGGAAGCATAAGCCCAGACCAATGGCCCTTACCTGAAAGGAGACAGGAGAGCAGTTCAAGGACAAGGGTGGAGGAAAAAGAAAATTGGTACTTTTCAAAAGATGTTCTATCCCTGTAACATGTGTCCATCTGCCCCTTGGTGAGTGACTCTGTAGACCTGTATTTCACTCATTTGCAAAGTGACCCGGTGGTAACAGCAACTGCAAGTCCTCAGTTCTTTCTAAATGCCAAGCACTATTTGTCGATGGTATTTAATCCTCCGAAGACCATTCTAGGGTGCACATTATCATCGCCATTTCACAGATGGGGAGACCAAGACTAAGACTTCAAGAATTTGTCCAAGATCATTTGAGCTAATCGAGTGTCCATATAAGCCCACACTCTTAGGGGACTGGGGAAGGACACTGGAGGACTGGACAATACACATCCTGTCTCAGCCTCCGCTGCTTGGAAGTCACGTGATCGTCCCGTTCAGGACTGCGGGAAGGGGTGCACGTGGCCAGATGTACTTTTGCAAGCTCAGCTTGTAATCCACACTGCATAAGAAAGATCCCCACCTTTTAATTTAATTGCTCAATTGACATATTGCCATTCAGTCTAAAAAAATGGATAAGTGAAACACACCAGAAGCTTCCAGTTTGTGACCTTCACAAGCCTGTAGCAGAGAAAAGTTACCCCATACCCCTCTGCCTTATCAATAAATTCTACTGGCATACAAACCAAGAATGTTGCTTCCTGCAAACCACAGCCATTGTGTTAGTAAGTTTGATGGTAATGACATGAAAGTCTGCTTGGGGTTACCAGAACAAAGTATCACGCTAGCACTTGCCATGGGTCATACCACTTGACCTCACTACCACCCTGCAATCGACATGTGTGTCATTGTGCACAACTGGCAGTGAAAACACTGACTCAAAGATATTAAGTCACAATCCTGAAGATACAAAACAAGACAGCTGAGCTCAGGACTCAACTCAGGCCTCTGTGATTCCAAAACTGCCAGCTTTCACAGCCTGAAGCAGATAACTTTGCCCACACAATAGAGATTTGAGCCACACAGCCCAGGAAACCACTGGGCCAGGCTCTCCTTCCAAGTCAGAACCAGAGACAAGCTCGATAATGCGTTTCACATCGCTGCCTGCTTCCCACCCATCCAAATATTGTGTTTCCGAAAAGAACCACAGACAACTTTAGAACATCAAATAGAAAACAAGATAAGCAAAACAAAGCATAGGAAGGAGTGTCCAGGGAAGTGGGCAGGTGGGAAAACAATCTGCTGAAAATTAATAGGAAGGCAGACATCCGACTGTAAAACAGTTGAGAGGCACTTTCCAAAGCTCTTTCACATTTGATTTAAGGGAAAATGTCGTTTTTCAAGAGTAGCTTTAGCAACGAGTTCCGTTGCTGGGACTCAAAGAACGACATCGAATAGCAGATGCCAATGTACCTGCAAAGCCTTCCTCTCTCCCGAATGTGATTCTCGCCCTCCTTTCTAGACATTTCCATCATCCCACTCACATCCCTCTGTTGTTCCTGCACCCACAACCACCTCGCATTCTTTGCAGAGAAGTTGCAAAGGAAAAAGCCCATGATCATACAGAAAACCCATATGCCCGTCATGCTCTTGAGCTATCGCCAATCCTTGAGTCATTGCTCATTTCCCAAACTGAGTTGTCTCAACCCCCCTTGCACGTTCTTCCAACTGTTTCTATCAATACTCCTAAAGTTTTAGCAAAATAAGATATTAAAGCATGTCCTTTCAGGAGACTTGATTGCCAAGAGACAGCTTGGTTTCTTCCTGGAGCTTAGGAACAGGTCTCGCCCATGAATATGCTCAACGCCATTTCTGCTTCCCACCTTCCAGAAAAGCTGTCCTTCCTTCCCTGGCTTGCCTGTGTCTGTACGTAGCGCCAGCACCCACACTGTTACTCAGGCCACTCCAGCTCTCCTTTCCCCTGATGCCCCCTCACCAGCGCCTCATGAGTCCTGTCAGGTCTACCCACAGAGTGCCCCACCCTGCTCCGTGTTCGTGGGTCTACCCTGCACATCACCCAGCTTGCTTCCCCTCCCCTCTCCAGTCTGTCCTCCAGCCTGATCCTCATGGAACATAGAGCATGGCCCTTCTTCCCATCACTTCTAGAATGAAATGTCAAGTCCTCAACATGTCCATGAGGTCCTGCTGGCCTGGCCCCGGCCTTTTGCTCCATCTTCAGCTGAGGTCACTTGTCTGTTCTACTAACCACACTAGTTTGTTTTCTCTTCCTTGGAGAGTCCAAGCCCTTGACTGTCTCAAAGCCTTTGCATTTATTTTCTCTGCCCAGAAATCCATCCTTTTAGTTTCTATTTGAATGATAATTCTAATCTCTGGTCTAATCTTCTGGTCCCATTTTCTAATTCTTTTGCCCAAAGAGCCTTCTCTGATCACCTCGTACAAAAGAGCATTCCTGACAGTTTCTCTCTCTCTCTCTCTCTCTCTCCACACACACACACTCCTAAGGCCCCCCCAACCCCTTTCTGTCACCAAGCACAAAAATACAGTTGCTTTACTTCCACACGTACTGTCCTGCTGCACCCCTAACACATAACACAGAGCCTGGGACATAAGAAAGAACAATAAAAATCAGTGGTCCACGACATCAGACCCAAGCTCCAATAAAGCTCACCCATCAGTTTCAATGCGGAAAAGGAAATGTCACTGCCTGGTGTGTGAAATCAAACAGCCAGTTCAACTTATAAAAATGTGCTTTCAGTTACGATCACAGAAGATATTCTCTAACTGATTATGCTGAGCTGGGGAGAGAGATGCAAAGATAAACACATTTAACTGGAAACAGATGGAAATCTGGTCAGCTCCCTGCGGGTTCCTTGACTTGAGGCCTTTGAAAAGGAATGCTCTTCTGGTCAGTGTTTTATGGGTACAAGTTAAGTGCCAGGATGTGCTGGGTATCCGGTTCCCCAGTGGTCACTTGATGGCCTGCTTTGTTTTGAGAAGGCCTGGCTGAATTGGTCCCGTGGGCCGTGGTCATTTGCATCTCTCTGGTCTGGATGAAACAATCTCAGTCCTTGAGTAGGGCTCTGTGGAAATCTATCATACATGTGTCCAGTGTAGATTTTCTTCATGGGCCAACACATGCTAGAGGTGGTCAGCGCCACGGCCCCACCACCAGCTCAGCTGCCTCACACAAAACCAGAGAATTCTCCTAAGTGAACGGAGGCTCTAGAAACCACAACTTCGGAAACCAAGTTGGAAGTCATAAAAGAAAATGATGCTGTTTTTTGTTTGTTTGTTTGTTTGTTTTTTTAATTTGGGATGGTGCAAAGAAAACTGCAGGTTCCCATCCAATATCAGGGAAGGTCGTTCACAGCTGCTGTTCATCTAAGGCTCCCTGCCGGGCCAACGTTATTTTGATGTTGTTGACCACTTTCTTGGGATTGGCTCTCGAATCTGGTTGGCCCATTCAATTTCCTTGGGTTTCAGGACAAAAATTCAACCCAACAGAGATGTTGCCACTTCGTGTATCTGTAGTTCTGTGAACCACAAAAAAGTCACACACTGCTCCCTGAGCCCTTAGACAGCAGAACATCCAACAAAGCACAGACGCAGCGCTCAGCAGCACAGAAGCACCTCACTTCCTGCTCCTGTCTGACTCTGGTCATCGAGGGAGCTGAC